GCCCTGCATCAGGCTCTGTGCTGAGAGCATGGAGCCTGCGTGGGATGCTCTCTCTCCCTCTCTGTCTCTGCCCCTCCCCCATTTGCATATGCTTGCACTCTCTTTCTCAAAATAAGTAAACATTTAAAAAATAAATAAATAAAATATCCGCACAGACAATATTTTCTAAGAATATTTAATTGCTCCAGGTCACGGTTGAAGTCATTCATTAATAGCTATCAATTGGTCTTATGTTTCTCATTCAACCTACAGCACTTTGTTAGACATCATGATATAGGTGGGAGTTTAACTGATAAGAGCAGTTGTAATCATCCCATGTGGTATTTATGGAATGAGAAAAGATGAAAGACAGTGGCAGAACTGACATCTGGAGGATAGTTGAAAGAGGAGATAACAAAACACTGCTCAGAGAGGTAGGAGAGAAACAAGGAGTGTATTGTAACATAAGCAAAGGAAGAATTTCAAGAATTTTGTTGAATTCCTTGGGTGCCATATGGTAAGAACTAACAATAATTTCTCAAAATTTTCAATTAGGTGGTCATTGATGACCTTTGCCAGAGCGGTTTTAGTAAAATGTAGAAATGGATTCCAAATTGCAGTGGGTTAAAGGATAAACTGGAAATTAATACATAGAAACAGCTAACTTATCATACATAAAAGAAAAGAGGTGATACCAGAGGAGAAAGCAGTATTTAGAAGAAACAATTATCTTACAATGATAAGAGAGACTCTGAATATATTTATAGGCTTTGAGGAAGAAGCCAGTAGATAGAGAACGATTAAAAATATAGAAGAAAAATAATGATCCATGAAATAAGCTCCTAAGAAAGGTATGTGGAGGATGATCTGAGAACACAGGATTCTTCTGTTTCAGAAAGAAAGGAGATAAAAATGGTCACCAAATATTGTTTTTTATGGAGTAGTAAGCAGAAAGTTTTATATTTACAAGTTTGACCTTATATAAGGCCAACCCTGTTACTAAGAAATTATTAGAAATTATACCAGCCAGGGGCACCTGGGTGGCTTAGTTGGTTGAGCATCTGACTTTGGCTCAGGTCATGATCTCACAGTTTGGGAGTTCAAGCCCCACATCAGTCTCGCTGCTGTCAGCACAGAGCCTGCTTTAGATCCTCTGTCCCCCTCTCCCTCTGCCCCTTTCCCCCTCAAAAATTAATAAAACATTTAAAAAAACAAAAAAATTATACCAGCTAGAATTTGAGTGGTTACTATATGCTGTGAACATTAAGAGTTTAACAAACAGTATCTCATTTAACTTCATCCTACTACTTTATGAGGGAAGTATTATCACTGCTTCTCAAGCTTAGAAAGTGAAGCTTAATGACTTTAATTAACCTAAGGTCACAAAAACATTAAGTATTATATTAGAACTAGTCATTTGAACCTAGACAGTTCTAACTCTAGGCAACTCTGCTCTTAGCCACAGTTTTAATGACTTGGGGTGTTGAAGAGAATGGCGAACATTTGGCAGAATGCAATAGAGACTATCATGGATGTGTGAAAGAATTGTCTGGGGGCACCTGGGTTGCTCAGTCAGTTAAGCATCTGACTCTTGATTTCAGCTCAGGTCATGAACTTGCGGTTTGTGAGTTCGAGCCCTGTATCAGGTTCCTTGCTGACAGCATAGAGCCTACTTGGGACTCTCTCTCTCCCTCTTTCTGCCCCTCCCTCACTCATGCTATCTCTCTCTCAAAATAAATTAAAAATTAAAAAAAAAAATTATTAAAAAAAAAAAAGAATTGTCTGTTGGCACTAAGTGCAGCAATAGCTAGAGACCAGAAATGTGTGTGCTGTCACACATCTGTACAACTGGGTTGAGTATTTCTAGCAGCAGTTTGCAGCCCAAGTGAATAATCATATTGGGGTAGGAATTCTTTCATTTGAAACTGGGTACATGAGAATATTAAGGCATAGCCTACCAAAAATTCCTAAATTCTAAAGATAAAAAGAAACCTGTATAAGATTCCTAACAGAAAATACAGTAAAATGGAAAAAAAAAAAAAGAATCAGACTAGCTTTGGACTTTTGTAAAACTGGAAGGTAGATGACAGTAGAATAGCATCTACAGATACTGAGTGGAAGGGGACTGCAACCAAGAGTTCTATACCTGTCAAAGAAAGTGAAAGATATTTTTAAATAAAGACTACAGTAGATCATTCACCTGAGAAAAATACTCAAAAGGAGAGAAAATAACCAAGGGATGAGAAAACACTTTAAGATAGAGGAAAGATAGAAAGTAAGTGAGCAATTAGATCTAAAAGAATAAGGAGAGACTCAGTGAATGTGTAATATAAGTACAAAGTAAGGTTTTTTAAAATAGAAAATGCATAATATCAAGTAATTTTAATAATATTGCAGAACAAACATAATAAAGTATTTCAGCAAAGTTTAGGATTAATGAGAAGGAGGGAGGGAAGCGAAATGATTTTTAAAATCTTACCTTGTTGATGTTGACTATTAGAGAAATAGAACATTTTTATGGGAGAGAGCATTTTAAGTTTCTATCTTATGTAACTAAGCACTACTAGATAAAGAACATTTTAAAATAATAAATAGCCCATCATTTAAGGAAGATAACAATCATAAACCTAAATACATCAAACAACATAGCAACTAAAATGTGAACAAGAACTATTAGAAATGCAAATAGAATTTAAAATACAATATAGTGAAAGAGAGAGGTCAGTATATTTGTCTCAATGGGATGAACATTTAGAAAAAATGGTGTAGGAATATAGAGGGATTGAATCAATAAACTTATCTCTTAATGCATACTCATCCCTCAGAGAATAATTTTTTTTTTTCTGTGTGTCCATGGAACGTTAACAAAAGTCAAATGTGGTTTGAAAACCTTAACAAATTACCCTTAACAAATTTTGAAGAAATAAAATAGGTTTTACAGACTGCTGTAAAATCTCTGGTCACAAGCCAATAAAATTAGAGATATATAATGATAAATAACTAAAACCTTAGGTAACTTTAAACTCAAGAAACATACTCTTTGACATGACTAAGATCAAAGAAGAGATCAAAAAATAAAACTGCAAACTATCTAGAGAACAATGAAAAAGTACTCTTCATTCTCAAACTACGTGTAACCTGTACTCAGAAGAAAAATTATAGCCTTAAATTCTTTCTTAATTAAAAAAGTAATAGGAAAAACAAAAGGACTAAGTAATCATCTTAAATTCAAACAAGAAATTAAATCAAAAAGAAACTAGTGAGAAGGGATTAAGATAATTCTAGGCCAAGTCATGGACCTAGAATATCAAAAAAGGTTCACAGAAATTTCTAAGCTGATCTCTGTGCATACTCCAATATCAAGTGTTAGAGATCAGTATGTATGGAAATGGAGGTAGCGTATAAATTCTCTGAAGATCATTTTGTTCGTGGTCTTTTATCCCCACTCCCCATTATTTATCTACTTCAGATTCTTATCTGGACTTAAGTGTAAGTTAAATCGAGTGGATGGTCAGCTATGCAGGGTTCTATTGTAGCATGATCCTAAGGCTGATGGGGACCTCTTCCTCTAGTTGATACCTCCCTGAGGAAATTTGTGAATCTTTGGAATGCTAAAAAGAAAAATCTCATTTAGAAAAGACAGGACCCCAAAACATAACTAGATTACAGCTTTCTGCGTTAATGGGAATTATAGAATAGATATATGTAAATATATTGTATTTAACTTAAGATTTCTTTTTATTTTTTCTTTCTTCATCATACTTCTGTAGATAACTGTCCATTGTCAACAGGAGTTCTTAATCTCTGGAGCTTAATAAAATACACTTGTTGCAATCTTAAAATAGAATCTACTCCCAAAGCCAAGAACACTCTGTATACACTGTATACACTGGCTAACTTGACAATAAATTATATTTTAAAAATCATAAAATAAAGTATTCATAAGCTAAAAAGAAAAGAAATTTCATCATTTAATATTATAAATCTGGGTAATCTTTATACTCCAATTGGTATTTACTGTGTATTTGAGGTTTCCCTTACCTTTGTCTCTCATCACTGTCACTGACTGATCATTAAGGACAAACAGCTGCTGTTTATTTCTGACTCAGTTTTAATTAATAGCAATAGTACATTTGAATTGCTTGATTTGTGGCAGGGATGGGGGAAGGAAGTAGGAGGAATGAGAACGTGTAATTGTTTTTTTGGAAATGTAAAACCAGGCTGTGATAAGAGAATAGGCAATATTCTCCTTAAGGATTTGCTACTAATTAGGTGAGAGGGCTGTATGTTCTTTATAGAAGTGCAAGTTTTTTTAGCATCATATCTGACAATATATGGGAAGAGGGAAGAGGAGACCTTAAACACTAGAAAACATATCCTAAAACATTTTTGCAGTGTCTACTGTATTTAATTAATTTTGAGGTCCTTTTGGTATTCTATTGGACCTGGAAAAACTATAGACATAAAAATATGATATTAATAATCAAATTTGCTTTAAAGTCTTGTTATTCTACTAGTTGGGATTTTCTATTGTTAGTTTGGAGGGAAGCCATACAGAAAACCTTTATAAATTCTGTAGTGTATAATTCGTGCCCAAATATAAAATTGCATCTTCGTATGGCACTTTCCTTTTTATATCTATAATAGGGTTAAGCCTTCTCCTGATTATTAAACTGATTTTCCCTCTTTTCTTTCAAAGAACCTTTGGAGGAATCATTTTATTTTACTTTTGATTTTTCTTTTGATAATATTAGACTCAAAAAAAAGTAGGAAGAAAATATAGTATCTTTAGAGCTAAGAACACAATGGCAAGGTTTTCACCATCAGTAAAATTCTCTTGATGGGTACCTGAAGTAGCAAAGAGTTGTTTTTACACCATTTCACTTTTTCCATGCCTTCATGGATTTTCTAATTTGTTTTTCTTTTAGTTTTAGGGTTTTTTTTCTTATCATAAAAAGAGAAGATGAAATCTGAATATGATCTTGTCTTAGCTTTCTTTGTATCCATCTATCCATCTGTAGGATGAATATAAACCTGAAAAGGCCCTGTCTGAAGAGGATTTGAAAAACGCCGTGAGTGTGCATCATGCGCTGGCATCCAAGGCCATAGACTACGAGAAGAAGCCGAATGTACTTAAACTTAAAACTGCCGACTGGAGGGTCTTGCTTTTTCAAGCTCAGTATGTTTCACTGGTTTGATTTGGTTTGGCTTTTTAGTTTGCATAACACCACTTTATACTGAGAAATAGAATCAGGATCTTCAGGGGAAATTTTTCATGTTGGATTCAAAGTCATTAATTGGTTACACAAGAGGGACAAATGCCTAAGAAAACTAGAATCAGAAATAGAAACTCTAAGTTCAATTTTTTTGTGTTGCTATAAGGCAGCCCTGTGACTTTTAGTCAACCACAAACCATCTATAGAAGTTAATATTTTATGAATAAAATACAAGGGTTGTACAATGTAAGTTTTATCACACAGAGAGTAAAATAGACCTGGATTCAAATTACCATTTCCTAGCTCTTCGTCCTGGCATGTAATTTAACTTCTTTGAATCTTAGCTTGTCATTAGTGCAGATGATAATGTTTATTTCATAAGGTTCTAATGAGAATTACATGAGATCAAGTGTATATATAAAGTACTTCATATAGTGCCTGGCATATAGAAACTGTTCAATAAGTGTAGATTTCCATTTTGTTCCCTCTGTCTTCTTTCTCTTCCTGAGCTCTAATAGTCTGTGATTAAACTAGAGGAAAAAGATAAAATTATATTGTGGGCAAGAAATTGGGATGGATTGCCAGTTCAATAAGGGGTCCATGACAACTTTCACATTAGAAGTGGAGCCTTTCACACAGAGAATTCTGGATTTGTGAAGTGAGAAACTTTGCATTTTCAGAACTGAGCCTCTACAAAAGGAATTTTTATAGGAGTACACACCATCAGTGTCTGTGACAGTGTTAATTCTTCATGCTTTGCACAGAACCTGAGCTTGACTTCAGAATCACTCCCAACACTACCAATTGACTGCATTTGGCATTGGAATTAAAATTTAACATCAAGATAGTGAACACAAGTATCTGCATACTTGTTGATCAAAGCAATGTAAGATCAAAAAAAGAAATAAGAACAGCAGCAAGTACTCTGGTGACTTGTGAATGTTGAATTTCCAGAGGTATGAAATTGCTGACATCAGGTGAGGAGGAAGTTGTAAGGAAATCCAAGTTTCACAGGATTTTTTTTTAGCATGGGAGTAAGACAGCTTTAACACCACAGAGGGACTCATAGCCAGATGTATAATTACAGCTATTAGTCATCAGAGTCCTTCAAATTATTCTGTTCCCCAACATTTTTTAATGTAAAATACCAAGTATGATAACTAAGAAGTTCTAATTACTTCAGATAGAAGTGTTGCAGAAATCAATGAATTGAATTAACAGAGGCAAAGAAATCAGATTATAGAAACATATGGGGTGCAAAGAGGAATTGATACCTAGTGTGGTCTTAGGTTAGTGTGGTTTCTCAGAGTAATCCATAAAGGAAATGATTTTAGATGGGCTGACATTCTGTCTACCTTAATCTGTCCTGACTCATCCTCCCATTCATTTATAAATTCACAAATATTTATTGAGTGTTGCCAGTCAGTGCTGGTCTTTGCAAATATATGACATACAAGTTAAAAGTATGTTAAAAGTTGAAAGTATGTTAATGAAATCAGATGATTTCTACATCCTTTCAGGTGGATTTTTAACATCCTTTTGGAAAGTTCTTTACATACCATTAATCTCACTTGTGTGAGGTACATAATTCAATAATTTTCAGCAAATTTACAGAATTGTGCCACCATCACCACAATCCAGTTTGGAACATTTTCATCACCCCAAAGAGATCCTCCATGCCCATTTTGTAGTCACCCCCCATTTCACCACCAACCCTGGATACCACTAATCTCCTTTGTGTCTCTATGGTATTGCCTTTTCTGGATTTTTCATGTATGTGGAACATATAGTATGAAATGTATCTGGCTTTTTTTCACTTACCATAAAGTTTTGGGGGTTCACCATGTTATAACATGTATCTGCCCTTCATGCCTTTATTACCAAGTAGTATTCCACTGTATGGATATATATTACATTTTTCTTTTATTCATTCATGAGTTGACAGACATTTGGATTGTTTCCCCTTTTTGACTTTTATAAATAGTGCTGCTGTCACTCTCAACAATAGCCAAATTATGGAAAGAGCCTAAATGTCCATCAACTGATGAATGGATAAAGAAACTGTGGTTTATATACACAATGGAGTACTATGTGGCAATGAGAAAGAATGAAATATGGCCCTTTGTAGCAACGTGGACGGAACTGGAGAGTGTTATGCTAAGTGAAATAAGCCATACAGAGAAAGACAGATACCACATGTTTTCACTCTTCTGTGGATCCTGAGAAACTTAACAGGAACCCATGGGGGAGGGGAAGGGAAAAAAAAAAGAGAGAGAGAGAGAGAGAGAGAGGTTAGAGTGGGAGAGAGCCAAAGCATAAGAGACTCTTAAAAACTGAGAACAAACTGAGGGTTGATGGGGGGTGGGAGGGAGGAGAGGGTGGGTGATGGGTATTAAAGAGGGCATCTTTTGGGATGAGCACTGGGTGTTGTATGGAAACCAATTTGACAATAAGTTTCATATATTTAATAAATAAATAAATAAATAAATAGTGCTGCTGTGAACATTCACATGTAGATCTTTCTGTGCCTATATGTTTTTATTTCTCTTGGGTGTATTCCTAGGAATAGAACTGCTGGATTGTATGATAAATTTATATAGTTAACTTTTCAAGAAAACTGTCAAAGCTACTTTCCAAATGGTTGTTTCCTTTTATATTCCTTTTAAATTCTATCAATTTGTTCCTCAGTTGGATTTTAAAATTGAATTATGTGATAGAAATAGGAGCTAATTTTTAAATTAATGTTTGACTGAGTCTAGTATCAAACAAAGTAGGGGTTTAATATTTATTGTCGAGTGATTTTGCTTTTTTCCCCTTCTGTTTCCTTGAGGAATAATCACAGCCTTATATTGTAATGATCATCGGTTCCAGGGCCTTTTATTACTATGGTAATTGCTGTTGAAAATGTTTATCTCAGTGAAATTTTATCAAGGATCAATTACCAAGAAATATAAATGACTTTATGTAACATTTTAAATCAGTAATGAGAAATGGGCAAGGTGTGATACACTTAGAGAGAGAAATACCCTGATGTAAATTTATCTGTTTCTCATAGGAGTGCAGAGGAAATGCAAGGATGGATAAACAAAATTAATTGTGTTGCAGCTGTATTTTCTGCACCACCATTTCCAGCAGCCATTGGATCTCAGAAGAAGTTTAGTCGTCCACTTCTGCCTGCTACTACAACAAAATTGTCTCAAGTAAGTCATTTTGATAGTGCTTTGACTTTGGAAAAAAGCACTTTGTAAAATAATCCTACTAACATTTTCATTTAAATAATATTCCATATTTTGGCAGCAAGGATAAGACCTTGCCTTGGAAGATCTATTGCATAAACGAAGCAAAATGCAGTATACTGGGTTTTGCACTTCATATTGGAAGCTGGCACGTGGCTGACACATAGGACACATACTATGAATACGTTTCTAAAATTTATATTAGTTTATTACTCAGTCATAGAGGCCTAGTTTTTTTGTTTTTAATTTTTTTAAGTGAAATATAGTTGGCACACAATGTTACATTAATTTCACATGTACAACATATCTCTGCCTACCATGAGCATTACCATTACATTATTACAGTAACATTGACTGTATGCTTATGCTGTACTTTTCACCCTTGTAACTTACTCATTCTATAACTAGAGGCCTATTCCTCCTACTCTCCTTCACCCATTTTGCCCATCCTCCACCCCCTTGCCCTCTAGGAACCATTAGTTCTCTGTATTTATGGGTCTGTCTCTGCTTTCGCTTGTTTGTTTATTCGTTTGTTTTGTTTTTTAGACTCCACATATAAGCGAAAGTGTGTGGTATTTGTCTTTTTCTGTCTTGACTCATTTCATGTAGCGTTATACCTTCTATACACCATGGATGTTGCAAATGGCAGGCTTAGTTTTTTGGTTTTGTTTGTACTGACTCATATTTTTTAAATGAGTAGCTACCGCCAGACATCCTGGCTTGAAAACAAGCTTTTTATTCATGTATTTGTTTTTTCATTTTACTGAGCTCTTCCCATATCCCAGGCTATATTTGATGCTGGGTATATAAGAATATTCCCAGGGATCCACTATTCACAGTACATTGGGGCAGAGACTTCCCTAACTCTCAGGGAGGAGCTAAGTGGGCCATGTGGGTTTTTCTAGCTAATCAAGATCATGTATAGTAGAACTGTGTTCCAAATGTAGTCCCATAAGTTTCTCTTCTGTTGTCAGATTGATCTCTCTAAAGATCATATTTTATTGTATTCCTGTCTTACTTAAAACTCTGTTCTAAGGACATTGTGTACAGGCCAGTTTTGCCAATTTTAAACCTGTCTGTGTTGCCTGTATTCTCACTGACTAGTTAAGGATTTTGGAAGCTAGTTTGATGTCCTTGTGAATTTCTTATTGGTGCAATAATAGAAATAGTTTCTTCTGGCTCTAATCAACCAGGGCTTGATATGAACTGGCTCCTCTACATACCTGATATCATGGATTATCAATGATATATGTATTTAATAAATATGTATTATGTGCCTATTATACCTCAGAGACTATTTTAGGCTCTGGAGACAGAAAGACAAATGAAACCCAGACACTCTCTGGATACAAAATATGCAAGTAATTGTAATAGAGTTTGACTAGAGTACAGGAAGTATAAGTCCAGAGTGCTGTGGGAGTATAAGAAGGGACATTTAGCCTCTGGCCTTGTAGGTGGAAGAGGCATTGTGGTATCTAATTTTAAACTTAAAGGATGAATAGCAGTTAGGCGTGGTGTCAGAAGAGAAAATCCCAGAAGAGGATCAAAAATGCTTAGAGGAGAAAGCACTGAGATACATAACATATAAATTATCAACTGTGACTTGAGCACAAAATACTGAGAAAAGGCAAGATACATTCCTCTGTGGAGAAGTAAGCAGAGGCCAAATAATGAAAGGTCTTGTCATGTGTAAGATTTTGGATGCTTCACTGCTTCCCCAGCATCCTTAGGATAACAGTTTAAGCAAGCAAGCACTTTTATCAAAATAAAATCTCTTATTTTAAACAAATGCCTTACACTGGAGGCATTCTAAAAATAGAATGCATAAAATTCTTAATCTTTCCTTATTTTGAGCATAAATCCAGAGAACCAAAAACAAAAACAAAAAACCCACCCGTGTTTATGTAATTGATCAAAATGATGGAGTTAAAATTTTAAATAAGGCAATAACCAAAAAGAAGTGTGCTCCTATGTCACATAAGATGACCAGGTCGTTTCAGGAATCTAATTTCTTTGTTAAAAAAGATGTTTTCTTTTCCACAAATAAATCACCAAGCTTTTATGGGCCTAAATGAGGACTATGTTCTAGAATGTTTTTAAGATTTTTTAAAGTTTCTTTCACTAGCTCTGTGTTTTTTGTCCCAGTCATTGTGTTTGTTTACTAAAAATGAAAAAGATGTTTTGCCTTTGAGAGTAATAGGACAATTTAAAAACAAATATGTAAAATCAAGCATGTGATAAATAATAGTTTAGAAAAAGGGAGAGAAGTTAGTTCACACCCTCCACATCAAATAGAGACTCTTGTGGGATATCTTTGGAGGAGCCTTAGTGCACTTTCAGTAAGTCCTGGAATATGTGCACCCACAAGCTTTCCAGTATCTTGTAGACTAGTCCTCAAGTTTAGCCCTGGCATTTTGCCCTGGTGTTGCCAACCTTAACACTACTGCCTATATAGCCTGGATAGTTCTTTGTTGTGGGGACCATCCTTTGAATTTTTGTTTAGCAATATCCCTAGCCTATACCCACTAGATGCTAGTATCATCCCCCTAGTTGTGACAACCAAAAATGTCTCCAGACATTGCCATATGTCCTGTAGGGTTAAAACCTACCCCACTGCTACTCACTGTTATTGAGAACCACTGCTTGAGCCCAGCTATCTTTCCTTTTTCTCCATACACCTACAACCTGGCTATGACTGCCCTAAATGCCGGAAACACTTGGATAATTTTAGTTTACAAAATACATGTATAACAATGTGAGTATCCTGCTGGAAAAAAATTAAATAGTGTTAGGAAAAAACTAAACATTCAATTAAAACATTGTTTGGTGCTTTTAGAGACACAGTGTTCATCATCACCTGGTCATTTGTAAGCTTTTATTCAAATTATTCTTGTCTGGGGGCGCCTGGGTGGCGCAGTCGGTTAAGCATCCGACTTCAGCCAGGTCACGATCTTGCGGTCCGTGAGTTCGAGCCCGCATCGGGCTCTGGGCTGATGGCTCAGAGCCTGGAGCCTGTTTCTGATTCTGTGTCTCCCTCTCTCTCTGCCCCTCCCCCGTTCATGCTATGTCTCTCTCTGTCCCCCAAAAAAATAAATAAACGTTGAAAAAAAATAAATTATTCTTGTCTTCAAACCATATTAGCCTTCATTATTAACATTGATCATTATCAGTACAGTGTGGTTCTCTGCACAACTCTGCTGTGTAGGAGTTATCTTCTTTAGTTGTTTTCATGGCAGTGTTGCCAAAGCATATTTTTCTTCTTTTGGAGGCAGAGGAACAAGTTTGAATATTTAAGTTTCATTTCTCCTTCTGGTATAACTAGTACTCTAAACTTAGGATTTCATGGTCAGCCCTCTTCAGGATCTGTTCAGGACCTCCTTTTATACTCATCAAAGTAGTCATTTTCAGGCTTTAATATGCACAAGAATGATCTGGGGACTTGTTGAAAGTGCACATATCCCAGCACCCCTACCCCAGGCTGGTAAGGTCTGGGTCAGGGTCCCAGGCACATGAATGTTTTAAGACACAGCAGGTGTCCAGCCTGTGAACAGTGAAGATCATACTTAGAGGCGCTGCACTGTACTCCCTACAATCCCTCCCCTCCCCTTCACTACTTAGCTGGAGATGTGTGAAACTGAACTGGGCCCTTGGGCTCGCTCAGCAATAGAAATTGACAAGAGGCTAAATGGGAATTTCCAGCAAGGCTTTATTGGAGCTTATGCTTAAGCATAGGGAAGCAGCACAAAGAAGTGTCCTCAGGCTGACTCCCCACCCCAAGGCAAGGTCAGGGAGAGTTTTTATCAGAAACGTGGGTGGGGAAAGGGTAATGTCCAAGCATAGAGGCGCAGGGGTCTAAAATGCCATGTGTCTTCATACATCGCATGTCTAATTAACATGTTAAATCTCCACCCCTGGATATGACTTTTAGTATTATAATGAGAGAAGAAGTCAGTGAAAGTTCAGCACTGGGGTCCATCTTGGTGCAGACTGGTTTGGTCTAGTCTTCACCAGTCATGGTAGTAAACATGTTCCTTTCAGTAAGCATCCTCCCTCACATTCCTGCAAGATGTGCTACTCAAGAGACATAGAGTTTTAACTTTTTTGTTTTCTCCTTATGAAGAAGATAAGGAATGCTAGATTTCTTAGTCAGGTTAGGAAACCTGAGTCCAATTCCTGCTCTGTCTCACCGGTACCTCATGAAATTACCATTTCCTGATACCTAGTTCTGTTTTCTTCTTAGAATTTCAGCCATTCTCCTGTAAAGATCTGAATCAATGATCAATGGTTATTTGAGTCAATAATCAGTGATTAGTTTGATCACTGAATGTTAACTGTTGAGGGCCAGGCCTTGGAAACAAAGGAAAGCCCTGTTCTTGTTTCTCACCCCTCATTTTACCCTGTGGTTTGACCATTAGGGCAGTAATGCCGAGGGCCAGATGAGTGCAGCAGAGTTCATTCGTAAACTGGCTTCTGAACACAGAGGGCAAGGAGAGACTGAGGAAAAAAGTAGACCTCTTCACATTGGTAGGTAGTAGTTTTAATAAGCAAGAGAACTTACTTAAGAAACCTGTGTTGGGTGGCACAAGATGAGTAGATCTTTGCACACATCTGTTGGTATCATAATCTATATAGAGCCTTAATTGAGCTCAATCATGTATACCATTCGGATGGTCTCAAAAACACATTACTATTTGAAGACCATGTCCTTGGGGCAGCTTATAGATCAGGGAAATAAGTGAAATGCACATTCCATGAATGGGAAGGAGATGAGGAGCCTCCAGCTGCCCACGTCCAGCTTGCCTGTCAGGCAGGGTTACATTCTCTCAGTGACCTCCACCAACAGGCATTAGGGGCAGTGGGATTTCAGAGGAGGAAGTCATCCTTGTAATTGTGTCCCATACTGGCCAGAACCACATCCTTCCTATCCCACTCCATTTCATACTTTAGTCACAAATCCAGTTATTTTCATACCCTACCCACACCCATTAATTCTGGTGTTTGTCATCTTTCACTTAGATCACTGGTCTCTGAACTTTTTTGATCATTCACTTTATTAATACTAAATATTTGAGCAGATATCCTCCAATATATGTATATATTTTTATAAAATATACTACATGTTCTATTATCAATACAACATGAAAAACTGCTGAACATCATTAGTCATTAGGAAAATACAAATCAACCAGTAGGTATCATTTTACACTCATTAGGACTGCCATAATTCAAAAAAAAATCTTTTTCTTTTTTTTTTTTTCAACGTTTTTATTTATTTTTGGGACAGAGAGAGACAGAGCATGAATGGGGGAGGGGCAGAGAGAGAGGGAGACACAGAATCGGAAACAGGCTCCAGGCTCCGAGCCATCAGCCCAGAGCCTGACGCGGGGCTCGAACTCACAGACCGCGAGATCGTGACCTGGCTGAAGTCGGACGCTTAACCGACTGCGCCACCCAGGCGCCGCAAAACAGACCTTATTCTTATCTAAGATTTAAACTAACAGTTTTATAGAATGTTTATTATAATACCATATAAAGGAAACATAGTGTTATATATTCAGAGCATTTCACACTAAAGCAGGAGAATATACATTCTTTTAAAGTACCCATGGAACAATCTCCAGAATAGATCACATACTGGGTCACAAATCAGGCCTCAACTGGTACAAGATTGAGATCATACTGTGAATATTTTCAGGCCAAAAGCTGTGAAACTTTAAGTCAACCACAAGAAAAATTTTGGAAAGCCCTCAAATACATGGAGGTTAAAGAACTTCCTACTAAAGATGAATGGGTTAACCAGAAATTAAAGAGGAAATTAAAAAATACATAGAAGCAAATGAAAATGAAAACATGACAGTCCAAACCCTTGGGATGCAGCAAAGGCAGCCCTAAGAGTAAAGTACATTGCAATTCAGGCCTATCTCAAGAAGCAAGAAAAGTTCCAAATATACAACCTAATCTTACACCTAAAGGGGCTAGAAAAGAAGTAGCAAATGAAGCCTAAAGCCAGCACAGATAAATTATATAGAAACAACAAAAAAGAAAGTAGACCAGATCAATGAAAGTAAGAGCTGCTTCTTTGAAAGAATAAACAAAATTGATACACCCTTAGCCAGACTTATCAAAAAGAACAGAGAAAGGACCCAAATAGATAAAATCACAAATGAAAGAGGACATCACAACTGACACCACAGAAATACAAACAATTATAAGAGAATACTATGAAAAATTATATGCCATTGAACTGGGAAACCTGGAAAAAATGGACAAATTCCTAGAAACTCATAAACCACTGAAACGGAAACAGGAAGAAATAGAAAACTTGAACAGACCCATAACCAGCAAAGAAATTGAAACAGTTATCAATAGCCTCCCAACAAACAAGAGTCCTGGGCCAGATGGCTTCCCAGGGGAATTAGTAGAGTTGATACCTATTCTTCTCAAACTGTTCCAAAAAATAGAAATGGAAGTAAAGCAAACTCACTCTAGGAAGCCACCATTACCTTGATTCCAAAACCAGACAAAGACCCCACTCAAAAGGAGAGTTAGAGACTAATATCCCTGATGAACCTGGATGCAAAAATTCTCAACAAGGTGCTAGCAAATCAAATTCAACAGTGCATTTAAAGAACATTAAAAGAATGATTCGCCATGAATAAACAAAAGCAAACATGAACTACTGGGATTTCATCAAGATTAAACCTTCTGTACAGGGTAGGAAACAGTCAACAAAAGCCAACAGAATGGGAGAAGATATTTGTAATTGACGTAAGATAAAGGGTTAGTATCCAAAATCTATAAAGAACTTACCAAACTCAACACCCAAAAACCAAACAACTTAAGAAATGGGCAGCACTAAGAAATGGGCAGCAGCCATGAATAGACACTTTTTCAAAGAAGATATCCAGATGGCTAAAAAGACACATGAAAAGATAATCAACATCTCACATCATCAGGGAAATACAAATCAAAACCATGATGAGATGTCACCTCACACCTTTCAAAATGGCTAACACTAACAACACAAGAAACAACAGGTGTTGGTAAGGATGTGGAGGAAGGGGAGCCCTCTTGCACTGTTGGTGGGAATGTAAACTAGTGCAGCCATGCTGGAGAACAGTATGTGGAGGTTTCTCAAAAAACTAAAAATAGGACTACCCTCTGATCCAGGAATTTTACTACTAGGTATTTACCCAAAGGATACAAAATAACAGATTCAAAGGGGTACATGCACCTCAGTGTTTACAGCAGCATTATCAACAATAGCCAAACTATGGAGAGAGCCTAAATGTCCATTAATTGATGAATAGATAAATAATATGTGATATATATATAAAATAATATATAATATATAAAAGTATAAATATAATATATATTTAATATATAAAATTTTAAAACATAAAATGATATATATTATATAAAATGGAATATTACTCAACCATCAAAAAGAATGAAATCTTGCCATTTTCAACAATGTGGGCAGAGATAGAAAATATTATGCTAAGCGAAATATGTCAGTCAGAGAAAGACAAATACCATATGATTTCACCCATGTGGATTTAAGAAACAAAACAGATGAGCATATGGTAAGGAAGGGTGGGAAGAGAAGAAAAGGAAACAAACTACAAAAGATTCTTAATACTAGAGAACAAACTGAGTGTTGATGGGAGGAGGTGGGTGGGAGATGGGCTAGATGGGTGATGGGCATTAAAGAGGTGAATTGATGTGATGAGCACTGGGTGTTGTATATAAGTGATGAATCACTGAATTCTACTCGTGAAACCAATATTGTGCTGTTATGTTTACCAAAATTTAAATTAAAAAAAAATGACTATTACAGATGAAAAAAAAAAGAAAGAAATGGAAGGAAAACTTCCAAACTCATTCAGTGAGGCCAGGATTACCTTGATTCCAAAACCAGAGACCCCACTAAAAAGGAGAATTATAGATCAACATCCCTGATGAAATTCTCAACAAGATGCTAGCAATACAAATCCTACAGTACATAAAAAGAATTATCCACCACGATCAAGTGGGATTTATTCCTGGGCTACAGGTATGAGTCATTATCCACAAATCAGTCAGCATGATACACGAATCTCTGAGTTTCCATTATTTCTTATGGGGAAATTCGCTTTGATATACAAATGCTTTGGATTACAAGCATGTTTCTGGAACAAATTATGCTCTCAAACCAAGGTTTTACTGTTTGTCAATGTACTCCTACATCATAAATTAAAATTGTTGGGATTTTTCACCTCTGAATTATCCAACTAGGTTTGAATTGCAAGGTTAAGTTGCCAGATTAATTATATAGTTACTTTAAGGTTTAAATTCTTCATCACCTGGCAACTACTTACTGATCTTGGATTTAGTAATTTTAATTCACAAAAATGTCATATGGAAAGAATTCAACTGGGAATTGTGATGATGTGTTGTACATGTTAATTTTTTACGTTTAACTCTTCTCGTGATCATCTAGGGTGACATGAATTCTGGAAGCAGGAGGAAACAACTCATTTTTTTTCTCATTGCCATGCCTTTTATGAAGAGTACAAATTGATAAGTCCTAAAGTAAGAACTTCACGAAGGAGGGAAATTCCTTTTGTCTGCTCTTAAAAAAAAAGAAAAGAAAAAGAAATTATGGTGTTATTATACAAATTGTATTTATCACCTAGTTTAATCATTTCCTTTTCATTTACTTTATTCATTTATTTCTTATTGTACATGCTAAATTTGTAATCAAGAATTTGGATAATATATATGTGAATGCAGAATAGTAAACAAAGCAGTCATATAACTTTAGGAATGCAAGAAAATTCCAATGTTTTTGTTTCATTTTTAAAATGTTGCCAGAGGGTTTGATGGTGTCTTTCATTATTATGAGGTGATAAAAATGTTGCCCCTAGTATGTAAATTCTTTGGCATAGGATCAACCATGTTGCATTGGTGCATGGTGCCTATAGTGACACTGTTCAGGCAATAATTTCTCTGTAGGAACATTTATTTGAATGACTACTTTGTATCAATAAGATTTTGAGAGAAGTTAGAACCTCTACTACTTTGGAGGGAAAAAGCATAGGCGTATGCATTTTTTAGAATATCTTCAGATAGCTTTCAGAGAATTATTTCTTGGTGACATTGCTCATCTCAAAAAGGAAAAAGAAAAACTAAGCAGAGAGACTTTTCATTCATTGTGACATATGGGGAAATTAGCAGCATTACTGATTGGACAGGAAATAGAAAAGCCAAATTATCTGGGACTCTAAGTGCTTAACTGGTACTTTGCCTTTTGGATTATCTGTTAGGAAGCCTGTTCTCAACTTCATGACTGGTATATTTGATAAGGGGCTCTGAAAGTATTTGGTTTTATAACAAGGGGCCTGTTGTCAGTTTGTAAAGGTATACGTGAATACTAGCATGAGAAAGTTGGTAAGATGTGGCAGCAGAGGCACATTGGACTGTTTTGATGAATTAAAGTCATTCATCATAAGGGATTTTTAAAAGCACTCTATGATTTTTTTTATTGAAAAGTACTCTATGAATTATTTTCTGATGCTAAATAGCTTAATAAAATCCTGCAGGAGGAACAGCTGAAATCTCATGAAAGCAAACTGAAGCAGATTACCACTGAGCTGGCTGAACACCGCTCATATCCCCCGGATAAGAAAGTTAAAGCCAAGGAGATAGATGAATACAGACTGAAAGATCACTATCTGGAATTTGAGGTATGTTGAACCTAAATGTAATAAATGCCTATACCTAAGTTATTTTATGATTTTTTTCCATGAGACTTTTTTTTTTTTTTTTTGGCTACTGCAACTATGGGAAGTATACCTTGACCCTGCCTCTAACTTGGGAGCTCTGGGCATGGTCTAGATCATGGTGGCCCCTCATGCTCAAGATTCTATTTAAGCATCAAACAAACATCAAAAAATAACTGTTAGTTTATGTGCTTAAAAGCAAACAGCCTGCCTGGTTGGGATAATGTGTGCCTGCTGTGAGAAAAAACAATGCCAGAATGGGGCAGCTGCTTTCTATGTGTCTATATCTCTTCCAGCAGAGTTTGAGTCAAAAAAATAAAAAATAAAAATACAGTGGAGGAAATGAGCTATAGGGTGATATGAAGTATCTGTTATAGTCTGTGTTACTTTCTATCCTTCATCTCCTTCATTCTCATCTTATCATCCTGTTTCTTCCTAAAGCTTGAAACTTAGACTCATTTGAGCACCCTCCTCCTGGCCCCTGCAGCCCCCCAGTATCTAATCAGGAGCTAAATCCCAGTGCTCAGCCACTCTAGTGTTTCACTTCTGTCTCTTCCTTACCATAGGCAATTGCTCTTATACTTCCTCTGCTCAAGTCCTGGGTTTTTCATCTCTCACCTGAATGTGGTGGTAGCCTCCTGTGTCTCTTTAGTTCTCTTGTGACAGTTAATGTTTCTTTTTTAATTTTTTTAATGTTTATTTATTTTTGAGAGAGAAAGAGAGCATGAGAGGGTGAGGGGCAAAGAGATGGGGAACAGAATCTGAAGCAGGCTCCAGGCTCTGAGCTGTCAGCACAGAGCCTGACAACTAGTTTTCTAAGGCTTAACCCAGACAGTGGCATTCCTCTGTTTAGCAGCTGCCCTTGAGGTTCTCCTAAGACTCCCCCCAAAATTTATCTTATGAGTAAAGTCCTAATCCTTAATCTCAGAGGATTGGGGTTCCTTCTGTCTTTCTACCACACTGGTTTCTTTCCACAACAGCCTCCTTATGTGTTAGTCACATTTCTGCCTACTCTCTCCAAGTGTACTTTGTGCCTTTGTTCATCTACTTTCTTCTGCCCCAAATGCCCCTCCCCTCATCTTCATTCCTGAAAGCCCTGTTCAGCTTTCAAGATGCAGCTCAAATACCTCCTATGAAAAGACTACTCGGGATGCCTCGGTGGCTCAGTCAGTTAAGCATCTGACTCTTGCTTTTCCCTCAGTTCAAGATCAAACAGTTCATGAGATCAAGACCCCAGGTCAGGCTATGTGCTGATAGTGCAGAGCCTGCTTGGGATTCTCTCTCTCTGTCTCTCTTCTCTCTGCCCTTCCCCTGCTCGCTCTCTCTCAAAATAAATAAACATTTATTTTTTTTAAAAAGTCAATTCTAAACTAATTAATTGGGTTTAATCTGTTACAGTCCTTGCCACAGTTGGTTTTATGTTAAAGTTTTTCAGTATGTCTTTGTATCTATGGTAGATTCCATAACACCTCCCCCTGTTCAAGATGGTGAGTTCTTGGGAGTACAAAGACCTCAAGTTCATTTCTAACCTTTGCTGTATGCTTGCATATTGAATTGGATAGGATTTCATGGAAGCTTAAAAAAGTATCTCCCTGAGTTATAAAATTTCTGTTATAAGATGTGGCATTTTATCCAGTGCAGATCCATGTACTAGCATTCTTTATGACCAAGCAAGTTCTTGCTGTGGGCAGATGAAGAAAAGTCATTCTTTTAGTAAAGGTAAAAGTTTATTAGCAAAAACTGTAGAAGCCTCACCAGCAAAAGACTTGAAAAATATTTTGTAAAAAACAAAACAAAACAAAAAACTAAGGAGCTCATCTTTCCCCAGGTTTGTTCATTCTTGAGAAATGGGAGTTTCTCAGAAAGCAATCATAATTCTTCACACTTTGAGTGGCTTTCAGCTATGGGCCCTTTTATTTTCACACATACTAACTGAATTTCCCAACACCCTCACTCCCCTGTGTCTAGCACTCAACACCTTACTTTGAGCCCTTGACTTTAAAGGCTGAGAGCTTGTCCACAGGAGGTGGGGGTAGCTGCAAGATCATTGAAAAGTTGTCACTGCTAGAAGCACTCCATACTTTTTTTTAAAGATTTTTTAACATTTATTCACTTTTGAGAGACAGTGTGAGTAGGGGAAGGGCAGAGAGAGGGAGACACAGAATCCAAAGCAGGCTTCAGGCTCTGAGCTATCAGCACAGAGCCTGACGTGGGACTCAAACCCACCAACTGCGAGATCATGACCTGAGTCAAAGTCAGACACTCAACCGAGCCACTCAGGCACCCCTGCACTCTATACTTTTGAACCTACTGTGGTGCCCCTTTTCAGAAAATGTAACCTAGCAGAACCAGCATTTTCATTTCCTAACATGGAATTTAGACCAAGCTTTGTGGGGATCAGTCTTGCTTTCATTACATTGTCACCTCATGGAACCTGAAAATTGTATTACACAATCCCTGGCTCATCAAAATCATATTCATATGCTAATATGTCAGGCATATTGGATTGTCTCTCAAGTTGCATTAACCTATGTCTATCAGGAAAGTAGAAGAGTAGATGCTATCCAAAAAGGTGTTTATAAAATTAATTCTTTTTAAAAAGCGAATTATTAGTTTTCACTAACTTGTGGTAATATATCTTGTGGGGTCCACTTTGCTATTGTTTCAGTCACCAGAATTTGCGTTGTGTGTTTGTTCGTGGAGATCTTTTGCATAGCATTGAGCATTCTGCTTCATAAGCAACATTTTCTTAGCAGACTGCTTCATTCCCTGAATGAATCTAATCTCATTCCCTGAATAGAGGGTATGAGAGTTTTTTATTGATCATTTTGTATATTTTGTTCACTTCTCTATCCTCAGGCTTCTGGAACATAGGTTTAATGTATATTTGTTGAATGAATGCATGGAATTTTATTATTATATATACAAGATAACATCAAAGAAAGTAGTTCTCTGAGACAGCTTAGTAGCTGCCCTGCAAACAAATCTGATAGGCAGGTAAGAACAGTGTCTGCAATTCAGTGTGAATCTCAAGTGGGCAGTGACAGGAAGGGGAGCTTTAATCCCATCTGCATCCTGTCGCCAGTAAGAATAACAGGCAAAAATTAGCTGTTTCACCTACTCCTGTAATAGGGACCTCCCTGTGGTTTCAGACCATAGGAAATTCTTACAATTTTTACACTTGATAAGGAAAAATGCCTTTATTTTGTTAGAATGTTAAGCTTTTGGTGATTACACTGGGAGTTGTTCCTCCCTTTACGCATTTCAGTTGTTTATATCCCAAGTTGCTTTGAGTACCAACAGTCTTCATTGTAGGCCAAATTCATAGCTCTTTCTGTGCCTTCAAAGTCTGACTGACAGTAAGTTATTAGAAATTATAGTAAATAAGTAGGTTCAGAGTGTGAGTTTTTTGTTGTTGTTTTGTTTTAAAGTCTATAAAAAGTCTACAGAGAACAAAGAGACTTCCATTTATCTTACTGGCTTTAGCCTATAAGAAAAAGATTCTCTTTTACTTAAAGCAGCGAACTACACTCAGAATGGGCTATAATTGACTACATCTGTGCCTGTCTCTCTGTTGACAGGGGGAAGAGAGGTTGTTTGTATTTGATTGGATTTGTACCTCCAAGCCATGACTGTTAATTTTTCAGAAGAGTTCACTTGGAACCTAAACTTACTTTTGAAAGAGTGGTTAGACCTAACAAGTCTCTGTTAAACTCATCATCATTTTCCAATTTCAAAAAATAAATGTCAGAAATAGCCTCGCTTCTTTATAAATTAACTTATTTCTACTGTATTCAGTTCCCATTTCACTTCAAAATGTCTAAATTGATCTCCATGCTGCTGGTGCATTTGGAAATTTTTCAAGATATGGGACAGATGGATGATTTATATTAGATATAAAAACTTGATAGCTTGGTAGTTAGCCCCATACATTTGGCTTTGTTTCTTTAGCTTTAAAAACAATGGCAATTAGAAAGTGTAGGTACTGTTTACTCCCAGTATTTCATGTAACAAGATGTTTTCAACAGCTCAAATAATTCATCCTTAAGCCTAAGTAGGGAAAGGGAGACTGTGTAGCAGCCCAAACTGTTTAAAAACATGACTGGGCTGTATGAGATTTACAGAAGAGGAATTATTTAGGGCCAGGTTAATAGAGGTTTCTGAGGTTCATTTTAGAGCCAGGTGGAAACTTGGTGGCCAATACAATGCCAATGAATTTAATGTAGCCAACAGACCTAATGTCAGCAGTTTTGTTTGACCAGCGCAGTGCTATATTTGTTTTCATTCTAATTTATATGCACTCAGAGAGGATCAGCAGTCTCTTCTCCACTACTCCCTATTATATCACATCCAGTAGGTTTCCACATTATGTGTTGGCCCAGCCCCTGAATGCATTTGAGTTTGCCATCCCTAGTATAATAGGTGCAGCCAGTTGTATATGCTTTGTGTCTTAGTTAAATCTTTGAACATGGGCGTTGGACTCAGCAATCCCTTCATGTTTAGAAAGTGGATACTTCCAGGTGTGTGTTTTCAGGTTCTAATCTAGCAAATAAAAAATTCCACTTCCCTGATGGCTCAAGCCAAATGCAAAATAATGTCCCCTTGGCTTAATGAGCTAGAATTCAGTAAGTTTTCTCTCCTCAATTGCAACCTAGAGTAGCATATACGTATGGCTTAAGACCGTTAGGACCCACACCAGCCACATGGCTAGGAAATTCCATTTTAGAAACAACAAATGTCCATTATAACAAGACATATAAGAAGCTTGGAACAGAATATTTTAAATCTAGAAAATCTAGGACATTCTTGAGACATGCTGCATCTTTTTCTGACTTTGTGATTTTTCTTGGCATGTTAAAAAAAGGCATGATTCTTTCTAAAATTGACATATTTGAGAATATGAGCAGTGTCATTAAACTCAACTCATGTTTAGAAGTGCCCATAATATAAATATCTAGTTGTAA